CCAGATTATTTAGAGATAAACATATCTTACTTTAAAAAATGAGTGAAAAGCTCCTAATAGAGCTGATGAAGACCAGTGACTAAGGCAACAAAACCTATCACGGCCACCCGCAAGGCACTGGTTTCATTAGTCAAACACTACACAGCAGGCCACTAACAGAAGAGTCTTCTTGCAACTTCACCTAGACTACACTCTCCCATTTACACCTTGCACAGCTCTCTATCTCCCCAACAACATCCAGTGGGAACCTCTGCAGCCCCTGATGGCCCCCAGGGCACTGCACTGAAGTTCCTGCTTGTCTGTGTGCCCCAAGTGTGAAAGCCTGCGGCAGGGCAAACCAGATGCCTCTCCAGTCCTGCTCCTCACACTTTGGTTAAGACTCAAAAGGTGCCCTACCACTCTATAAGGCTCAGCAAGAGTGATACCAAATATTAAATTCCATTTGAATCACATTTTACTGAAGGTTCTCAGTGTAACTTGAACATCAATCCAACCAAATCTGTGGTGAACACATTCCTCTTTTGAAGGTACTGTAGAACCATTTAATTTTCTTTGTCCTCATTGTGACAAAGAACTGAACCAAATGCAGCTGGATTCAAGTGAGTGACTTCTTAGTACTAGAGGCTGAAAATACAGCGTAAACTCAGAAGCTGCTCTTCGAGACCGAGGAGGAGGTCAGGGTTGGAACAGACATTAGGTGCAGGAGTCAAAGAATACCAGGAACCTTTTTTTTTCCAGAATCCACAGCCATTTCATCAACACCTCCTAGAGTTTTAGAAGATCCCTGAGATCCTTTAGAGCTAGTTGTTGGAAACAACAGGAAGAAAAGCCAATAAGCAGTATCCAACATCGTTTCTACTAGGCTCAGGGTTGAAACACTGACAAATGACCCAGTTTCCCATGTGGAATGCTGGGCGGCTCTAAAAGGCCAATGGTCCACACATAACCGGTGGATCCCTGATACACTTGTGTGAGAAAACTTCTAGGGCACTACCATCTCTGGGTCACCTAAATCCCAGAACTTAGCACACAGCCTTGACAGAAAAAGCCCAAGAAGAAAATATTTGAAGTCAGGTGTGTCCCAGATTAATGTCAGAAATCCTGAACCCCAGGAGTTCTTACTGAAAAACTTGGAGAACTAAGCAATTCATTTGTTTGCTCTTTATATCTCATGTCAGGGAGTATAACCTGTGTGTGCAGAACTGAACACATAACCTCACAGGAACATGTGCTGCTGAGCAAAGAGGCAGTAAGACATTCTAAAATTTATGACCTACTGCCAGGGTTATTTATTTATTTATGGATTTATTTATTGCTGTTTTTGAGACAGGGTCTCACTATGTAGTTGAGACTGACCTAGAACTCACTATGTAGCCCAGGCTGGTCTCGAACTCACAGTGATCCTCCTGCCTCAGCCTCCTGAGTACTGGGATTACAGGTGTGTGCCACCACGCCTGGCTCCAGGGTTATTTTAAAAATGTTTCCTCTTACCCTAAATCTCATTTACTAATTTTGTTGTCCTGGGTATGTCTCTTAAATTCTTGGGCCTCAGTTTCTTGATTAATATAAAAGAGACACCAGTACCCTCTTATAGGGCTCTTTTAAAAGACACAGAGCTGATGCGTGTAAAAGTATCTAGTCCAGGGACAGTACAAAAATTAAATGATAAAAAAGTGTGTAAAAAGATTATGATAGTACTGGACACAATGTAAATATTGAATGTAAATCAGCACTATGATTATTTACTATTATTGTTTCCTCCCAAGCACATGCTCACACACGCTTCTCTTCTGGGACAGTCTGCCACAGGCCCCTTGGAGTCTTAACTCCATCTCAACTTCTGGCAAGACATGTGGCTTTGGACATGTCGGTCACTTCATTTCCCTGAGCTTGACTTCCAAGATGAGAGAAAGAAATCTCCCATTAAAGAGGTTAAATTCTAAAGAGCAAATGATCTGAAGTCACCATCCACAATTACTCATTAATGGTGGAGTCATGCATCATCCCCTTTCTCTGCTTTCTTTGCCAGAAGTCTGGCCTTGCCCTGCACATGACTTCAGTATTCAGTCACTTTACATCCCCTTTAATAAAGGTAAAGTGGATTATTCTTGACAGGGAAGCATCATTTGTGGACATCTACTAGTAGCTCAGTAATGAGCCATCCACCACTAACTCGCAAAACAGTGTTTGCATATTTAAATTTTAGTTCAGAGGCTGCAGACTGCCTGTCCAAAGGTCAACTATTAAGTTCTGTTTGGTCTTACTACATAATGCTTTAAATTTTTTATAGTTAGTTTCTGAAAATAGGGAAAACTGACATTTAAACAAATGCAGCTATTCATTTCTATTGAACAACCCGGAAGATCTGGAAGCAATCATGATCACCATCACTTAGAAAAGCTGCTCCTTTTATCTATAAATCAAACCAGTCACCATCATACCCTCAGGGCTTTTCAGAACCATCTCTGAATGTGGCTGTTAATCATTAACCTTAACAGTTTTAGAATTAACTCCTGATTTACCTGCACCTATTTTGTGCATTAAACTTTGAGTGTTTTGTAGGAAGTACTCCAGAAATGTGAAAAAGAAGGAATAAACATGACCAAAGTTCACAAAATGTACTAGAAGGTTCCAAGGAGATCTCTGTAAGGCGGGTTTCTAAAGAAGATATTTGTCTTTTCTAGATTGGCAAGTTATCTATTCCTTCATGGGGAGTCAGAGCAAATAGATAAATCTCATCTCACTTATCAAAGCAAACTGAAGTGGAAGAAGTAAACAGTGGCCTGAAAGGCAAAAAAGCAATTTTAAGAAATTAATAAATGATGAGACTATTAACAGCACAAGAAAAGAGTTTGCTTTTTTCCTCCCTTTAATATGATTTTTACCTTAAACACTGTGTCCCTTTAGGAAAGGAAAGAAAAGTTAATAAAGGAACCTATCACTCAAACTTAATTTTTAGTATGGCAAATAAACTGCTTTAATGAAAGGGCTGAAATCCCTAGGTTTGCACATTAAATTTTCATTCGTAGTAGAGAATGGAAATTATTGATTCTGCCGTGGCATCATGCATTTTAAATCCTACAGTGCTTCAGGAGCCCACATTTCCGTTGGGTGCAAATGTGTTGCCAGCATTTTAATGCAAGGGGAACCCAGGGTAGATGAGAGGGCAGAAGAAGGGATATAGATAAGCGAAGGAGGCAGACTGGCTTTTCACAGAAAGAAAATGATGTTGCTTAATTTCAAGAAGGGTTTGACAGTATGGTGGGCCAGGGGTGCATTGTGAGAACAGAAAAACCAAGTCCACTCAGCGGCCTTATGAATAACTTATAAAAAAGGGAGAACTGACGTATGATGATTTTATCCCAAGTCCTTAGGGAAGAGTCTGGATTTCAAGAAAACTGTAGAGGAAAGAAAAGTACCCTTCTCAGTTCAAGGTCAGAGTGTCTATAGAATAAACACCTGACATGCTAATACTGAGCTGGAGAGTACAGAAAATCAATCAACGGCAAAAACCTGGAATGACCTTACAAAGAGATGACATGAGCATCTTTTTTTTTTATTTATTTAAAAGCATGAAAAATGGTATGTTTTTTCTCTGAGAGAAATTAATCTTTCTGCCTCTCTGGTGACTATCCCACAATTAAACAGTTCTTGACTATTTTCCCTTTAGGTAACTTACAGGAACTGATTCTAAGCCTAGTCTGAGGTACCCTGAACCAGGACCATAGTGTAGCACAGACTGTACGAGATCAGAGAAAGCAATCATCTTTAGAAATAAGCTAAACTCAACTGCAAAAGCAAAGCTGCTTAAAAAGAAAAAAAAAAATCATACAATATATTCCAAAAAGAGAAGGCTGTGTTTTGTTTTTGTTTTGATTACCTACTAGCTAAGATTATCTTAGACCGGCAGTCTCTTCTGTCAGTCTGGATGTTGGAAAAGTAGCTTTGTTGGACTAAAAAGTTCTGGTTTTGTGTTTTCAGATGCTGAGAGCTGGTGCCATCTATAGATTTCCATTCTGGGAGAGGTTTCTCTTTTGTCCTACTTTGCGTCAGACCTGCTGTCGTGAGGATAAGAGCGCCCAGGAGACACTTCCCTGCGGTTTAATAGGCTATGAAGGATGGGACTCATTAATCGGCTGGCAGCTGCCCCTAAACAGGATGCTGCCTGGAGGTGGGGGAAGAAAGGTAAGGGAGGTCAAGAAGCGGCCGGCTCCATCCAGGAGACCACCAGCGACTAGCTGCCCAAGGAGGACTCCCTGAAGAAAGCAGCACCTCCTGAAGAACCCCACAAGTGAAGTCTGAATTGAGAAACCTTCACCTACTAGAGGAGCAGGCTCTAGATTACTGTTTTCATTTTTTTATTTCAAATAAGCACTCCTGAGGTATTAACTACCTGCCTGAATATTTTTATATTGCTAGAATATGACTATTTCTTTTGTTCCTATACTATGTTCTCATTGATTTTATAGTACGTGTCCCTACTATACTAGTGTGCTAATTTTTAACTGGCTTTTCCTTTCCAATTCTTGGTTAGGACAGTCCTCACCATATTTAGGTAAAGCCAAGTTACTCAGCTTAGTCCATAAGGATTCCTGACTTGGACTTTCCTACCACTCATCCTAATCTTCTCATTACTTCCTGTCCAAATTTAGGCCACACGCTTCATGCCTTCATCTTGTCTCAGCTTTCCCTTGTTTTGCTCCTAGCCTCTTTACAGCCTCAGGCAGACAGGCTCTTTTGGTGGGGTCTTGAATCTCAGACACCTCATCTGCCTTCTGAATTGGAGGAGGTCCTATAGATAGTCCTTTCCTTTTACTCAGCTCTCACCTTCCTTTTTTTATCCGCTTGTGTCCCATGCTAAGTAGTAGACTGGGCAACAGATGTTCTTTGAATAAAAAGGGAACACCACTTCTGGCTCCTGCATAGGCTGGATTTCTTAGATACACAGAATGAATTTAACCAGGGCCTCCTGAATCAGGAGCCAGTGTATCACCTCTTACCTTTATGGTTTTGGTCTGGAGTCTGAGTCCATTTAAAGTGTTGATGGCTTTCTCTGCATCCTTTGGATCAATATAGTTAACAAATCCATACCCTAAACTCTGTCCTGTGGAAACATTAAAAAGAGAGAGAGAGAGACAGAGAAAGAGAGAGAAAGAGAGAAAGAGAGAGAAAGAGAGAGAGAGAGCTCAGTATCTTTACAGAGGCAATACTTTCCAATGCAGTGGGTCAAAGCCCTCTTCTGGTGTATGATTCTTTTACACCAGGGTTTATCTCAGATCGAGAGGTTTTCAATTCCTCCATCTCTCACTTTGGTTAGTCTTTAAATTCACAGGATCTCCCCAAGCAAAAAAATTTCCCTGCATATCCACACCCAATGTATACAAAAGTCTATATAACCAGGAAAAGTCAGGACAGCATAGTAGGAAGACAGCAGGTGCAGTTGCTTAAAAGAGACATGAACTAGCATCCTGGTGCTTTCTCTTATCAGCTGTGTGCCTTTGTAGAGATGCCATTTAATCTTCCATTTCCTCCAGATCTCTACTCAAGATACCTGCACTTACCTCAGACACGTTTGAATTAGTAAAATATCATATATAAAAGTTTTACCAAGTACACTGCCTACAAAATAGTAGGTGTTTAACTAAGGACAGCACTGTTCTGCTCAGTACTATAAAACTGGGACAAGTGGTGGACGCAGTAGCTCTGTCTATTGCCTTGGTCATGCCAGTCACACCCACATTCAGAGGGATGTAGCAGGATCTGAGCAGCAAAAACTAGAGACATTTATAGTGAAGGATGCAGGCATAGCCAGAATTTAAAGCAGTTTCTACAAATCACTCTTTGCCTTCCTCATCCCCTGAGCCAAAGAACAATTAAAAAAAAAAAAGAGGGCGGGGGTTTCTACTGGAAAGAATTGGGGAGCTCCTAACAAAGGGGAGAGTGTGAACACACTCTCCAAAGAGGATTTAACTGCATTAGGTGGGGATAGCATCAACTTGTCTGCAAAGAGAGGTAGCAAGTGACAGGGCTCCCCCCTTAGTGAAATAAAAATAATGTGCTTGCGATCGTGCCACTGATTATAAATAGTCCATCAGCTCTGCCATGTGTCATCAGCCAGAAATATCATTAGGAAACTTTACATTTTCTGACATACCCTTTAAGAAACACAGAGCTTGTGGTGGCTGCAAAACCAGCTTGAATTTCCCAGGCAATGTTATTGATTTGTGGGCGGCAGTAGAGCTGAAGGGGAGGAAAATGACAGAACGTCACATGTCAGGAAAGACTGATTACATAAAGCTCTTTTTGGAGTACTGGGGCCAGGGCTGGGAGACAATACAGCAAAAAGCCTGCCATGTCCTGGTGACAGGAGCCCATTTCAGCAGCCAAAAAATATTTCCAACAGCTTCTGTTTTGCTGGTAAATGTCTGTGTTTGTGTTGGTTGTAGGAGGGAACCTGGGAAAACAAGTTGGGTTCTGGATCAAAAAATGGGTGACTCTGTTATCCTTCATAGGATGGAAGCAAAGAGAATCATGAGGAAACTCAAATGGAAAACTCAAAATGACAGTGCCTTCTATGTATCAGAGTACATTTTTATATTTTGGAAAAACAGGGTTTGAACATAAAGACAAAGGAAAAGTTTTGCCTGATAGGCCCTTCACCAACCAAAATTAGTAACTGAAGAAGGAAGACAGTGCTGAGCACACTCCAACTTGGTGGAAACTTTCTCTCTTTTACTGTGTAAGAGTAGAATGTAAGTGGGGTGTGTGTGTGTGTGTGTGTGCGTGCATGTATGTAGGAGAGAGAGAGAAGGAGGAGGAGGAAGAGGGAGAGCGATATGTGGATTATAAAACTCTACCACATGTTCTGAGAAACTTCATTTTGCACATGTAGAAATACAAGAGCCTCATTTCATTGGTTTAAAAATATCATTTATCCTAAATTAGGCACTACCTCATCAAGCCTAACTAAATTCACCTAATTAAATCTATTTTCATCATGCAAATTTCTCAGTCATATTTACCTTATATATGTTAAGAAACCTTAAAAATTGTTGTACTAAAATATTCTCATTATCACTTAAAAAAAGTCATCCACCAAGTTGAGCAGCTTTTAAAGGGAATTTTAAAAGCAATTATATCAATAATAAACCTTATATCTAAGTTCTAGGAAACTGGTTAGATGGCCCATTTTCCAACCCAAGTTAATTTGTGTAAAATCAAAATAGAATATGAAAAGGTAAACAAAACACTCATCATTTATCTGCAAACATTAGACCTAACTGACACTAAAAAGCTCCTATTCAATCTATGTGGAGAAATATATCAGGCTTACCAGTGGTGCCTGTTCCCAATATACTATCTCTCTAAGATTGTTTGTATATTGATGGAAATTTGAAATAAACATAGCGAGCCTAGCTTCTACATTCTATCTCTGTTTTAGACCTTTGTACGGTGGAAGAAAAACACACTCAGGCTCAGGTCTTAGGGAAGTTCCAAAGGTCAAGTGACGGAAAGGACTCCTGCCCAGCAAGATAAATCATATCAACCCACCTGCCTATGAGTCCCAAATCCACCATCACCTGCACTCCTGACTATAATTAGTGCTGTGTTGTTATCATCATCTGCCCTCAGCTTAGAAAGACTGAATTTAGCATCAAGAATGAAGGTGCTTTGAGGAAAACCGAAAATTAGATGCATGCCATTTCAGAAAGGAAGGGGGAAGAGGTAGAGCTTCTTCTTCATATAAAACAATGAACGGTAAACTCTAAAACGGGGCACTGCATTGAACAAGAGGATAGAAGAACTTGCCTGTGAATTGAAAGATAGAACACACACTGGCAGCACAATGAAACACCTGTGGTCAGCCTAGTTCACAAGCAGGTTCTCTTCACTTGCTTCTCACCATCACAGGAGGAGTCCAGCTACGTCTAATCAAAATATTTTACGGATCTGGTTTTCTCTTTTAAAATGCCCTACGGAAAATTAAATCTCTAGACAGGAAACATAAACACCCAAGCCTCACCTCTTTAGGAATTGTTTAAGTAAAGGGGAGAGTAAAAGGAGGAAAAAATTTAGTTTTTAGTATTGGTGGCTATATTTTGGTGGTGGGTTTTGGATTTGCAGTTCTATATTTAAATTTACACAGAAAACTATAGATGAAACATATACAGAAAGAATACCAACACTTTTTCCATAAGGACCAAAGAGTCACCATGCTGGGAGGGCCCAGTGGACCTGCTCAGGAGCCTAGAGCTAAGTGTACATGAACCTACATTTCATAAATACTATTTTCTTATCATTGTTTTTATCTTTTTCAAATAGCTACCTCTTCTCCCTTTACTATCAGTAACTAGATTTGGTCATACAGATATTAAACGGTGTTTTAAGAACTGAAAATTAAAACAACTTTACTTTCATTTCCAATTTATAAGTTTATTTTTTGGCAAGTTGAGCAAATAAAAAATTATCAAGATTACATTAATTGAATTATATTTGTTGAAAAAATAAGATATGAATTAAAGACTATCTGCAAAATTTAGAAGCTAGTGAATATCTGGCTCCTTGATGCCAGCATGGCCTATAACCCTTACTTCTGATGAGTCCCGAATAATCCTGTCCAGCTGGCATAGGTGAGAGGACCCTACTTAGCATACATCTACTAGCAGGAAATATATTTATGGCAGGCTGGGATGAGAATTTATAATTCAGAATGTAATTTTCAAGAGAAAATTGTACATAACAGCTACATTTAAAAGCCTTTCGGTATTTTGGACTAAAGTTTACAGATTCTTATTTTGAATAAGCTATTCTTCTTCTTTTTTTTTTTCCTGGTGGTATTTGGGATTGAACCCAAGGCCATAGTACTGAACTACATCCCCAGCACTTTTAAAATTTTGAGACACAGTCTCACTTAGGTTGCTAAATTGCCCGGGCTGGGCTCAGATGTGCTGTGCTCCTGCCTCAGCCTCCCAGAGTGTTGGGATTAAAGGTAACGAAGTGTTCTTAAATCTGAACCAAATATTTCTGTTTTTATAAAGCCTAGGCATGTATGCACACACATGCACAATGTGTTCTCCTAGTATGACAAGGCAAGATCTTTATTCTCTTAAAATAATTTTTATATTTAATTTCTCCCCTAAGAAACCAAATATTTCACAAGAACTACCTTACAAAAGTTTCCATCCTTGCACATAGTAGGTACTCAAAAACGCTTAATAACTAAAAGAATCACTGTAGGTATCTGTATTAATCTTCCACTTCTGGAAGTATATGACCAGAATGTTTTGTACATTTGTAGGAAAAAGGGGCAAAGAGGGAGTATCTAGGGATTCATTTTGCATTTGTGAGGGAGGAAAGAACACAACAACACACTGACTCCAGGGACTGGAAAACAAAACACAACATCCTGGGTAGATTCTCCCCCAGTACAGATCAGGAGAAAAACAAAATTCACCCCTGCCCAAATTGCACAGTGATTTTGAATTTACAAAGTGCTTTCCCATCCACTCCACTGAATTGATTGTTAGGACAATCTCCCGTGAAAAGAGAAAAATCATCATTACAGATGGAGAAACTAAAGCTAAAAGAAAACTGCACTTTGCCCAACATCACAGAGCTGACTCACATTCTAGATGAGAGGGTAGGCATTTTTTTAAAAATGTGTAGGGTAAAATAGTAAACAGTTTAGGTGTGGTGGGTTCCATGGTCCTTTTTATGACAGCTCTGCCACTATGTAGCAGCTAGAGACAATATATAAATAAATAGTATGGCTGTGGTCCAATAAAACTGTGCCTAACAAACAGGCAGCAGGCCTAATTTGGCCCTTGGGCCATAGTTTACTCAACTCCTTGTCTAGATCTTTTGGGTTATCAAGGTTATATTCACTGAATTATCTTTATGCATTTACTGTAATCACAGTTACCTCATTTGAATTAAAATGTTATTTATTAACAACTATTTTGAGGCTCAGAAATACTTGAGGCATTTTTTTAATCATCTAAGAAAAAGTAAATTATATTTAGTTTGTGTTAAGCCCTTTTATTGTGTCTGATCTCCAGAAAGTGTACTGATCATAGCTATTTGAACATTTTCCCCCCAGGATTC